AATTAAAATCGAGTACAAAATGCTTGAGGACTTCAAAATACCTATCGACGGAAAAATTTGCTCTCCTAATCATGTTCCGAATTCATTTCTCATTGTTCAAAAAATCATTTCCCCGAAGAAATTACCTTTCCTCATTATTTTCCGAGAAAAAATTCGAGCTCATATTCGATGATTTTTCATTTCGATGCCGAATTCCGCGATCAGGGTGCATTATGCGCGCGTACGTGTTTCCCCTCGGTAAAATTCTCCCTCGGCATGCAGTTAGATCGCGTCGTTTCACGTGGGGGAAAATAATAAGCTCGGTGCACGCAGCTATGTGAGACTGAACGGCGGCTCGCGCATCGACCGGCAATGCAACCGCGTTCCATATAACTTCGCGACTTTTATTCGCGACTGCCTTCTGCCTTCGTCAATCGAATTCGTAACGTAATGACCAATTGCAGCTTTGTGCAAAGAGTAAAAAAAAAAATTATAGACTATCGCGGTAATCTTCAATGTACATATAACAGTCATTAGCCGTTTTGATAAATATTTTTTCAACAAATTTTTAGAAGAAAAAAAAAGAATTTAATTGGCAATAAGTCCGATGTGCTAATGTAATAATTTACAAAATATAAATATGTTTTATTGATAATGTAATAGATAATGTATATAAATCGATACGTCTAGCAACATTTGTATCTTTAGGTGCATAGTATATAGATACATCAATACACTTATACATATATTTATGCATATAATATATTTTTATATATTTTTCAACACAAGATGATTTAAGCAATTCGTTAAAAATTTTGAACAAATATGTAATGAATATGATAGTCAATTAATGTTTCTTTCAGTATAAATATTATATTAAGAAATAAGATAGTTAATTTCTTTTATTCATTTTATTCATCACGGACGAATTTTTTTTATTTAAATGTTACATTGAGATCCTGATGATAATGTTTTCAAAAATATTATTTCAAAAATATTATCTTAAAAATATTGCTTTAAAAATATTATTTTATCAACATCAGTTTTGAAATAATCGACGCGACATTACGTTCACCGAGTTTTATGCATCGCATCGATGAATAAATTCTTGTCAAAATTTTTTATTCAATCGTTATTACGATATTACGTACGCAGATTTTTGTATTTTTGTTGCTCAGAAAAACAATGAATTACAATAAAGTAAATAGTAGTTTCGGATAAATTTATTTTTAAATCAATAAAGTCACGATGATATAGACAAATTGACAAATATTTACGGAAGAATAAAATAATATCAATTAAGAGAGAGAGAGAGAGAGAGAGAGAGAGAGAGAGAGAGAGTATTTAACAAAAATACGCGT